ACCCCTCTTCCCGCGGTCATCGCGCTTGCTTTCCAGAAAAGCTCCTGCAGTACGCCTTGTGCCTGGCCCTCCGACTTTTTGAAACATTCCTCCGCCTATAGTTTTAACGTTTTTTTACGGACCGGTCATCGATGGTCAAGCATGGTAAGACGTTGGCTTTGACCAGAATTGACTTCTGGCAGGTGATATGATTTAAGCTCAAATTTTAGTTCATTGTGAGCTATTTGAGTTCAAACCCCTTGGAATGTTAAAAGCTTCATAAAAGAACCGCGTTTTTTACTTAGCGGCAAATATGTAGGGCGCAGAGGAAGGGGCGTATAGATAACCTTCCTATATTTAAAACTCAGTTTTTCCTTGACCTGATTGTACGCATCGCACACCACCTGGTACCGATTTTCGGTGAAACTGTACAGTCGTGCTGCGGTAGGTGGAAGATCGTACGTACCACCAAGTGGCGGTTACCTTTAAACGTCTCTAGATGAGAGACAGGAAGTAAATGGAGATAGGTTCGAGTGATTCCTCTGCGCACAGGTCACCTGCTGATGCTCTCGGCCATGACGCTGGAGCAGCACGAGTGTTACAGCGCTCACAGCGACTGCAAAATCTTCGATAGACTCACCCTTACAGGCCATGGAGCCTCATACCGGGCTGTGGCGGACAGAGCCCAGGCACCGTAGTGGCCACTGGTTGGAGCAGGGCACAGTAAGGATATCATGGCGGGCTTCAGCTGCTTTGGCGCAACCAGCTGCAACCGTCACGTCTTTATCTGCACACACATGTTTTATCTTTAGACTTACCGCCACCAACGATTCTGATTCAGTGCACTGCCTTTGGATTGTCGCAGCGGCACGCATCACAATCGTACACCTCTGCATCCTACCAGCAGCGGTGTGTCATGCAATGTCTGGGATGGCAGTGTCGTGATCCTGCTCGTGGCGCGGGAGCCCGCTCGACCACGATTTGGTGGACACGACGATCACCCCTGACGCCTGAGTCTCGGTGTCAAATATCCCCGGCGGCTTCCAGCTCTTCACATCAGCCGGCGCATTATCAAGGTCTGGACGATACACGATGCTGCACTCAATCCCCGAAACCATTTCGGACTGTTACACCATCATCCCTGGTTAGCAGCCAACGCAAACTAGCATGGTGAGTCCTAGGCTCCAATTTCGTTCAGAGTGAGTAATGACTAAAGCACTACGCGATGCCAGCACAAGCCGCAGTTCCTTTTGTCTGTGCATTGAACGCTTGACGTTCTATGTGGCTCTAATACAACGGCTCTGCCCTCAACGTCTTGCTCCTGAAAAGTGTGACGCCGGTGAATTCGTCGGGGAGGACGGGGGGAGGGTGGGGGGGCAGGGGTCCGTATCCATGGCCTAAGCCTGCTTGCTCAGCTGCAAATCTTGGGTGCGCAGTAACGGGTGCACTATAACACAGTACTTAAGTATGATATCTCCGGCACAATGTCGAACGGACGAGCGCAAAATAAGAATCAAATGGTTTTCCGGCCAATCCAAATACTATCTGTGAAGGTAAAACGACCCATACGGAGCTGCAATGGTCGTCCTGCAGGCGGCTCTCTCGTTCGTCGGTCTCGTTTCTTCTCGGACCTCGTTCAGAGCTGCACGACGATTATCTTACAAAGAACCGCTTGAGCTAGCAAAGAATGCACGTCCTTCGAACGCATGACCAAGTCAGTTGCTATCTACGCGCCGTATACTTCATCAGCTAGACTATTCTAATCTGCAATGATAATCGGTCTGTGCAATTATCAGTGAGCACAGTATAGTGATCAGGTGGATGCATTTACCGTCTCAGACAGATTCACAGACGATAGTCGGCTTGCTCATGGTTAAACATCGCAAAACCACGGCGTACTACAAAACACAGATAAATCACGCAGCAAGCATATTTTTATTTTCTTTACAGAAAAAGCACCAGCCACTGAAAAGTCATACCAGACATGACACACCAGAAGACCAGGTTGCCGAAATTGAACAGCTTGAACACGCGTTCGGGTGGGTGTGAAATTGACCCCCGAAGATTTTTCCAAAATGATTTCTGAACGGTGTGGCACAGCAGCGCCAAATTTCGCATGGCTGCCAACAATGACATAGCGGATCGTCTGGCATACAGATTAAGATGTACCTTGTAAGGTCGCTGACCTATGGCAGGTCAGTCAGGCCATGGTTTCAGCGAAGGCAATTTCTAGGGAATCATGCAATCCGATCCAACAACGGAGTGTTCGACGAAACCATACATCTCTGAAATACTGTGTTAGGCAGCACAACAATTAAATGCAAAAATTACAGTGACATACATAGGGTCAGGTACGAAGAACGGATCAAGGTAAAAACCAACATGTTTTTTACTTTAGGGCTTGCTGTATGATGCAGTTTCTGGTGCTCATTTCGAATCTATTGCTAAGAAGAACCCCATTATACACCTTGTATGGGCTTCTGAAATCTTAGATTAGGTCACTGACCTAAAATGACTCAGGTCAAGTTTTGTTTTTAGGCACATACTCCTTGTTGCTTACATAAATGCAAAGCTTAAAGCATTCTTGCATGATTTAAGTCACCATGACCTTTAAGAGATCAAACAAGGTCACTGACATTAAATAAATATGTGTCATTTTAGTTAAAACAGTTACCTAGGTTCTAGGGGCCTTTAGGAGAGCACGCTGGAATTTGCCTTGTTTGGCCTTATTTGACCCAAAGGTCATGACGTAGGAACGTCAAGGCCTAACCTAAGTGAGTATGTTTTTTTCCAAAGCACTGTGTCGCGTATAACTGCGCTCCAGAGCGTGGAGCGCATCCGCTTGTCTTATTGCCATTTCCTGTAATGAAACATGAACTTTTATGACAAAAAGTCTGTTCTGAGCAGCTTCATATCTGATACGTCCCCTACATGGGGACGAGAACATTGAATTGAATTTTAAACATTCGAGGGCTTACTGCAGCTTGGTCTTGCCCTGCCGGCGGTTGGGCTGGTTGGCCGGACGATGCCATGTCACCAACAGCGGGTGCCGTCAGCTCGGCAACATGCAACGCTAACGCACCACATGCGTTACCAGCCTGTACCAGCCAACGCCATACAGACCAAACGCCTGATAATGACCATTGGCGCCGGCTGTGCATATCAGTGTTGCACGCCCTGCGGCCACATGTCTCTGCCGAAAGCGTGCCATTCACACATCGCCCGCGGACCGTCCAATGGTCGGCTGTGTCCCGTGCTCCAGCGCACGGGCACCGCGGCCGGAGGCCGTGCGGCCTGGCCGGCCTGGCACCAGTCCTCAGCTGCATGGGCGTCTTCACTTCCGATGCGCAGCCGCGCTCTAGCACGTGACGCGGCGCGACGCCGCACGCAACTTGCAACAAGTCGGCAACACAACTCCATAACTGCCGGGAACGCACCACCACCGCAGACGCAGGACGACCAACTTGGCTCCCGGCGCCTGGTGCGGCAGCCATCTAGCGGTCATGCTGGCACTAGCAGCGGCTGGGCGATTTTCGACCGTAGCGACGCGCGTGCCGGCGTCAGTTGCACGCCCGCAGACGCGGTGCGAGGACGTGTTCTGCCGCTCGCCAACACTGAGCACCTATTGATAGTGACGGTGTGCTGTCACGTGGTCTGTGATCGCCAGTCGGGTGACGTGACGAACAGCGCACTGGCGTCGTCGGCGCCGGCGACTGCTCGGTGGGCGCAAACTGTCGACGACCTCCGTTCCCGCGCGAGTGTGCTGACGCAACTGCTGTGCGCACGACATAAGTTACTAGAAGATGCTCTGCAAAGTGTCATGTGAGCTGTTGCCCATGCGCGGCGGGGTGAGCACTGCTCGCCGTCGGTCGCTAATCGCTCGCCGACCCGGCGCCCGGGGCCAGGCGCGTGCACGTCGGCCTTCCAGAGCGAAAGCGGCCGGCATGACACAAATGCACCTGTTGCAGTTGTATCGGCATCCCGTCTCGGCATTTTCGCTAAGATCAAAGTAAACAACTGCCGCCCCTCCCCTTGTCCTAGCTTTTTATTTGATTTGTGTAATAGTGTAATCAACGCATCACGAGCTGTCCCCCCCAAGGGTTGTATGCCCTCTGTGTTGGTGCAATTGATCCTTGTTTGTTCCGTGTATTGGTGCAATCGAATGACAATCACAACGAGATGGTGCTCCATTAGCTGAATTATGTTCTACTTATTCTCATCTAATCCGTGTGTTGGTGTATTTATGTGACAATGATCAAGACATTCCCCGCCCCCCATTCTTTTTCTTCTAGCGGCGCGTGTGCACGTGCTGTGCTGATTATTATTTGTTCTGTGCATTAGTGTAATCATATGGTATCAACACGAGATGCTTCCCGGAGCCCCGGACTGTGTAGCATTCCGGCGTGTAGCCCCCGCCCGTTCCCTGGGCTGGCCGGCCGGGTGTGGGTTTGCCACCTCCCTGCAATGTCCGTAGGCGTTGGGCAACTGCGGCCTTCCCGTGTGGACGTAGTCTTGCCTTCGGCGTTCCTGGCCTGGCGTTACGCCTCGAGGCGACGCAGTCTTGTGTCGTCGTCGCGGACATGTCGTCTGACTGCGGTGAGGTCGCCGACGGCTTAAGGCCTGTAATCCATGGAGCATTGACGGGCAGTTGCCGCACCTGCCGACGGCCTGCCCCCCGCCGCTGCCCACCATGGTGAGCCAGCGCTTCACCCCATTGGCGGCACGCTGCACCGTGCCGTGGGATTATGGAAGTATGGCTTTTTTGTACTGTGTGGTGCGGTGGTGAAACTTATAACGAGAACCACGCTGCCGTCCAGAGACAAGCGGCTTCACCGGGGCTCCCACATCCGGCCCACGTAATGTGTAATGCAGTGTTTTGTACATTAGCATAGAGCCCGTTCCTGTTGGCCGCCCACCTGTCTGCCGTTGGCAGCCAACTTGCTTGTCTGCCGAGCTGTTCCTGTTGGCGGCCCACCTGCTGTCTGTGTTCCGTGTACGTGTGTTGGACTGTCCGAGGTACTTGTGTCGGCACGTTGTGAGCTTCGATACCTTGCCTTCGTGAAGCACACCTCCCCGTGAGTGGATGCTGAACAGTGATCTTGTACACAATGCAGAGGTGTATGTAAATACAAGACCGTTACATGATGTTGTTAAGAATCGATTGCCCTCGAACGGGATTGTGGGCGGCCTCGAATTTGTTTGAAAGCATAACGACCGCTCAGTTTGAGTAACTCATTAAATTCTAGGTATTTCGATATTCGCACTGAGAATGCCACGTGACACGGGCATACTTTTATTGAGGCCCCCACAATTGACTTGCGACTATTGCGATATTCCGTGGGAAACATAAAACGTGGTAAACTTAGGTGTGAGTCACACAAGTCAATACAACGCAAACCATAGTCATCAAACACACAACACGAACATACCAGGCGAGTGATACAGGTCAAAATCTAGCAGGGCCGGGGGGAGCGTACATGTCGGCCCGGCGCAGACGGTAGGGCTCGGAGATGACGGGGGTACGGAGATGACGGAGACGATCGGCTCGGAGATGACGGTGGTACGGAGATGACGAAGACGGCCGGCTCGGAGATGACGGTGGAATGGAGATGACGAAGACGACCGGCTCGGAGATGACGGCGGTACGGAGATGACGAATACGACCGGCTCGGAGATGACGGTGGTACGGAGATGACGAAGACGACCGGCTCGGAGATGACGGTGGTACGGAGATGACGAATACGACCGGCTCGGAGATGACGGTGGTACGGAGATGACGGAGATGACCGGCTCGGAGATGACGGTGGTGCGGAGATGGCGAAGACGACCGGCTCGGAGATGACGGTGTTGCGGAGATGGCGAAGACGACCGGCTCGGAGATGACGGTGGTACGGAGATGACGAAGACGACCGGCTCGGAGATGACGGTGGTACGGAGATGACGAAGACGACCGGCTCGAAGATGACGGTGGTACGGAGATGATGAAGACGACCGGCTCGGCGATGACGATGGTACGCCCTAGCGCCATCCGCTCTGTGAAGAAAAGAACATCTCGTGTCAACCGTGCAGATCACTGAAACTGTCACCAACGCGGTGGGGTAGACAGGTATTCCGAAGCTACTCGAGTGAGTTGAAGAAAATGACATTAACAAGCATAGTGTGAGGTCCGTGGTAATTATTTACTGATACCGTGCAACACCAGCATGGCTGGTCAATGCAGTTGCAGTACTGCAGGCAGGTGCGGACGTAATCGCGCCTTGAATATCATCCACTGGTTCTGGACGGAACAATGCTAGCATGTTTTGACATGGACAATCACAAATTACCAGTATCTTCATGGCTTGGGGAGTCGGGGTTGATATATGACGGCGGCAACAAGGCATAACAGTTCAGAAGTCTACCCACAGGTGGTGGGCTTACCAAAATGGTTCACCTTGGCCGGACACGTGCCCTGAGTTATGCGAGAGCCGAAGGCCCTGCGACATATCATCCGAGCGGGCGCCGCCCTTAACACGTTTTTCTTTCGTGTGTTTTTGCTGCCGGCCACCGAGCGGCATTCGAAGTACATACCGTGGGTAATTTAGTGGCTACCCCGGTGTGCATCATTTCGTCATTTACCCAGGTTTGCGCATTGACTGGCCGCACTGCCGCAGGCCACTGCAGACCGAATGATGGTGGATATTAGCCAAGCTTCACAATGCGCAGTATGCATATTGATGTGTGTGTGTACAGTGTCGCACGCCTCAGACGGCACCTGCCCATCCCCACCCCCCACCCCCGATCAAAACAAACAAAAACATGTGATGTTGTTTACATGAATTGCTGTATATTAAATGTGGCCCTTCTGTTGAGTACCGCCAATGTACTGTAATCTCCCAATGATAAGCTAATTAACCGTGTAATGGCTCACAGCGCATAAAAAATTTTGTACTCCACTTTGGAAAATTTGTATTCCGCTAGCAGGAACTTTTTGCAATTTCCAACACCGGTACCACTTCCTAGCTCAACTGCTTAACAGACGGGAAATAGTGTTGGCGCCTGCCTAACCAGACCGTAACGATGGGAAGAGGGAATAAATCAACAGACGGAACCTGTGTAAAGCCATTTATCTCCTTTCTTGTGTATGTTTTAGGAAAAGTGAAGGAAATAAACGATAATAATCACCACAGGATACACAGTGATGCGAAATTTCTTAAAGCAGCGATACGTAAGGTACAACAAACGCACAAAACAACAAACTTGAGCAAACCCTGTCTTAAACAAACCTGCATAGTGCGCCGATGCATCACGGCCAGGTACATAATGGCCTTCATGAAGACCCGGCGCCGAGGCAGGGGCTCAAGGACGACTCCACACACCATGGATTGAAGCCTCTCGCACCTGGCACACCGGAATTGGTGTCAGTGGAAAACCATCCGAGGACTGCAACAAAGAAAGAGAAGCTAAATTAATAAATACAGAAAACTCAAACGAACAAAGACCGGTCTTAGAGTGTGACCGCAGCTACAACATAGACTCTCAGTTTTCCATGCAGATAACAATCGTTAAATGGCCACCGCTCAAGGAATGCATGCCGAGGATTGCATGATATTAACCAGTGTTACTTGCTACATTCGCACGAGCATGTTAAGGTAGGCTTCCTTTCCAAATGCGGGACGAAAGGACTGGATAGAAATCTGATTGCAACGCTCACCCCGAAATACATCGCCGAAAGCGCTTTCATATATCCCCAATAGTATTAATTATTGCAATGTAATTAAGCATTGTTATCTTATTACTCTATACTTTGATTTAAGGCGATAAGAAAACTACATTTTAATCCACCTATTTAGTCAATACTGCAATACAAGGAAAAGCTGACCCCTATATGAGTGCACAGGTGCACTTTCATGTACGTGATGCGCGATGGCGATGGCGGCGAGACCTACCGGGATCGAGCGTGGACGCCTCCACACCGGGAGACGGCGATGGCGGCGAGACCTCTCCGGGATCGAGCATGGACGCCTCCTCACCGGGAGACGGCGCTGGCGGCGAGACCTCTCCGGGATCGAGCATGGACGCCTCCTCACCGGGAGACGGCGGTGGCGGCGAGACCTCTCCGGGATCGAGCGTTGACGCCTCCTCACCGGGAGACGGCGCTGGCGGCGAGACCTCTCCGGGATCGAGCATGGACGCCTCCTCACCGGGAGACGGCGGTGGCGGCGAGACCTCTCCGGGATCGAGCATGGACGCCTCCTCACCGGGAGACGGCGCTGGCGGCGAGACCTCTCCGGGATCGAGCATGGACGCCTCCTCACCGGGAGACGGCGGTGGCGGCGAGACCTCTCCGGGATCGAGCGTGGACGCCCCCTCACCAGGAGACGGCGGTGGCGGCGAGACCTCTCCGGGATCGAGCGTTGACGCCTCCTCACCAGGAGACGGCGGTGGCGGCGAGACCTCTCCGGGATCGAGCGTGGACGCCCCCTCACCAGGAGACGGCGGTGGCGGCGAGACCTCTCCGTGATCGAGCGTGGACGCCTCCTCACCGGGAGACGGCGGTGGCGGCGAGACCTCTCCGGGATCGAGCGTTGACGCCTCCTCACCGGGAGACGGCGATGGTGACGAGACCTCTCCGGGATCGAGCATGGACGCCTCCTCACCGGGAGACGGCGGTGGCGGCGAGACCTCTCCGGGATCGAGCGTGGACGCCCCCTCACCGGGAGACGGCGGTGGCGGCGAGACCTCTCCGGGATCGAGCGTGGACGCCTCCTCACCGGGAGACGGCGGTGGCGGCGAGACCTCTCCGGGATCGAGCGTGGACGCCTCCTCACCGGGAGACGGCGATGGCGGCGAGACCTCTCCGGGATCGAGCGTGGACGCCTCCTCACCGGGAGACGGCAGTGGAGGCGAGACCTCTCCGGGATCGAGCATGGACGCCTCCTCACCGGGAGACACTGGCTGCGTGCCCTCGTCGGGAGCGAGCACGGAAGGCTGGAGGGTGGAGGTCTCATCACCGGGAGACGGTTGCGGCGAGTTCTCACCAGGAGCGGGCGTGGGCAGGTCCTCCCCGGGAGACGGTTGTGGCGAGTTGTCGTCGATACACTGAGGTGGCAAGTCACTTCTGGGAGACGGTCGCAGCGAGTCCTTGCCAGGAGTGGTAGTGGGAGATCCCTCACCAACAGATGATGGGGGCCATTTCTCAACAGGAGACGGCGAGTCTTCGGCAGGAGAATGTGGGGAGGGTGCCACCTGAGTAGGACATAGTGTTTCTTGAGCCTTTGGCTGGATGGCATGGATGGCCTTTTGACGGAAAACATGGTTTCTTCTGAAGCAGTCGCAGTAATGTTTTGCCAGTCTGTTTTTTGCTATCCTTTGTAGACTGTTGCTAATGCGTAGTCTTTTCAGAGCATGCTTCTAAAACACAAGGTTGTTCGGATCAAAGGTTACAGCAGCAGATCGAAAATTGCGGATTGTCTGGGAAAAAGTTGCCACTTGGTGTCACAGGAAAAACAAACCGGAATTGTTCAGGATCGAGGTCGTCCACAACATTAACATGGAGAAATCTCCAGCTCTAGCAGACTGTGGGTAAGAGGGGGTAAGACGGGGATAAGACGTGGCCAAGGGTAGCCAAGGTTGGGGTAAAGGGCCGGGCAGCCAGTACAATATATAGATCATCGACGCACGTCACATTGGGTGCGGGGAAAACATCGGGCCGCGTGATTACCCCTGAGCACAAAAGCTACACGCCCATGGCAAGCACGAGGCACATGAGGTTCCTACCCGCTTGTGGAAAGTCAGCCTTTGCAACATCAGCCTGTCTCCCCCCCCCCCCTCCCATCTCCACCTCCTGCAACCTTCAAATGGGTACCCATGAGATCAATGCAGATCCGTTTGGGGCGGAGGGACATCGCCAATAATCGGGATAGGTTGATAAAAGCCATTCATTCAGGAAAGGTTGTGAAAGGCACCCAACCTTCCAGTCAAATTTTTCGAATATTACCTTATGTTGTAAGTTGGTAATCGCAAAAGAAAGTACGCCAATCGCAGGCCATATCAAACTTTGTAGGTGAGTCACACCTTATGCCCAGCAACTCGCTGTTCTTCTAACCTCACAATCCTGGTGACACAAGTGAAACTGCCGAAGAAGCACGCACTTACCTCTTGATGATGAAATAACATATTCTTTTCCATTGAACTGCAAAGGAATACAACAAATATTATAAGAAGTAATACAAACATTCTGTGGCATGTCAATAGAAACATATCACCAAACAACAGACATCGGCTGTTAGCAAACTTGGTCGCAGTGCACGCAAGTGCATTTTGTTGATGCAATGAAACCCAGAAATTGGGAAATTGGTCACCTCAGGAATGACACTAAAACTGCATACCAAAGGGGGTGGAGGGGCAGTACCAAGGTGTGATGTGATGATAGGCAAAGCACCTAAAGTAACAAAGGTGTGATAATGAAAGAGGAAGGTTGCAAAATCAAGCAGCCAAAATCAAATTAAACATGTTTGAGATATGTGACTGTGGGAGGGGGGGGGGGGGGGAGGTCCTGCGGTGGGCGACGTACGCGGCTGCCTGGCCGCCGCTGGATGTTGCGCGCCGCCGGCTGCCGCTGTCACGCCTGCCCACAAGAACGAATTTATAAGGAGCCCATTGGTCAGCATGCGAGCCAGATGATTTTAGCGCACGGCTCGGCACGTTGTGACTCCGGTACACCCGACACCAGCACGCACTCATGTGAGCCACAGAGCTAGGATAAAGCGGGTAATCGGGGCATTGGCCGGATGGTGGATCCGGTCAGGCCCCATGAACGGCTGTCTTCTCGTCCATGGCCGTGCGCCCTTAACCACGGTGCCCCACCTCCACCCTCTAGCTTGCGATTATATTTAAATGGGGCAAAAGCGGAACCGCATGCATGCTAATACGCCCAACTGGCAAGGGTCCCACACACTGGCGAAATATATTGGCAAGAGCCCGCTAGATAATGGTTCTGGGAGCCCTCCCCCCCCCCCCCCCCCCGGCCTTAACCAATCCACACAGACTCCATGCACTCGGCGCCCCACGACACCCGCTCCAAGCATTCACATTCGCTGGCGCCCATATCATCCCATTCATCCTTGGCTTGCACACGGGTGGGACCCCACCCCCCCCCCCTTATTTCCCGCGCCTTGGCATTATAAAAGGCTCGTCTGCGTGGGTCCTCGTAAAGCTAAGTGAGATTTATTTATCACATTTCGATGTTGCCATAAAGCCACGTTTAAGCCCTGTTTAGTGTATCACGTTAATTTGCCAGCTCGGCACCGACGCAGCTGCTGGGCCGACACCGGGTGTCCGAAGCTGGACGGCGACTCGTTCACTCGCCTGACCTCCAGGGCGACGGCTCCCTGTTTGGACAACGCTCCCTGCGTTCTGTTCACGATGGCGGCCAACCATTCGCACGGCCACGCCCACCGCTCGCAGCTTCCCCCTGTCGCGCATGCGCCTTAGGCAGGGCCTCGTCCGGCACGGAGGCGTCGCTTCCGGCACTTCTGCGCCCTCGCCTCCCGCCCGCCGGAGCAGGCTTTGTAAGGCACCGCCCCCCGGTGCCCCCTCAGAGGCCCGGGGGTAGACAGCGCGCTCTATGGGACGGTGGAGCCCCCCGGCAGACGACCGGCGCCCGGCGCGACCTGCGTCCACGCCTTACGGTCCCCTCGGCCGGCGCGCTCTGGAGTCTCAGCCTGACCGGCCTGTCCGGCGACCTGATTCCTCGTCGCCCTCCCTATGAGCGTCGATGGCGGGATCTATACCCGTCCCGAACATCCCGCCACCAATCGCTCATAGGGCCCGGCGTGCACCACGTTGGCAAAGAGCAGACTGACTCCTGTCTTCTCCCAAGGCGGAGACATCACGGATAGACCCCGCTACTGCCATGCACAATCAAGCATCTCGGGCGGCCCCCACGGATCCTGGGTCACATCAAGGCCAATACTTTTTATGCCGTCGCGGCTGAGGTCAAGTGGGAAACAATAAAACGAGTCAGCCGTCTCCGAAAAAGAGCGAAACTGTGTCTCGAGCCGCGCCACCCACAAACGTCTTTCTGCGTAGAAGCAGGACTACGGTCGTCTGGCTCCTCGTCCTCGTCGTAGCCACGCCGGGCTGCTCACTTGCCGGCGGGCCGCGAGCACTGGGCCGCCCCGCCCATCCACACCGCACGATACTGCCATCCGCCGGAGGGTCGCGGGTGCCCGCGCCGCCATCGCGCACCGCCGGGTGCTGCCCTCTGCCGCGATTGCCCATGTCGGCTGACAGATGGTGTCCGTGTCTCCTTCCGAACGCTATCCAGGGCGACACCCCGCGAGTAACTATCCCTGGTCTCGCAGAACTGAGGGCGATCCCTCGAGATGTGGCGGGCTCGGCGCACCTCACCACTATGCCTCACCACTCCGGCAGGTGGTCTCCCTTCGACCTCTAGCCAACATCCCGGGGTCATGTCCGGTTCGGAAAATTCGACGCCGTTCTCCCCTACACCGAACCTCCGGTGTCAGTATCGGATCCCTCTCGGACGAGATGGCCCTCCGCTAACCAAACATGAGTGCATCACTCGGTCAGAGAACGATCCAGGCCTAGCGAAACGGAGAGGAAGGCAGAAGACGGGCAATATACGCGCTCGCTGAGGGAATCCGTGTAGTGCGTGCACTGAGCGGAGCTAGACCGCGCTAACCTACTAAACAGCGGGGCGAGAGGAAAAAAAGAAAAGAACATGAATAAAGAGGAGGTCAACGACAAAAAACATAGCAGAACACACAAACAGTAATCAGCCTCACCCACGCGCGGATACCTCACTGGCCCAGCTGATCTATCGGGCAGACGAGTAATCAAGCGAAGGAGGTGGAGCAGCATGCACATAACGAAGTGTGAGCAGGCGCACCGGGCGGAGCTTGGTAAGAGCTCGGTGTCCCGCGACGGATCAAGGGGAGAGATGGAATGCGAGCGATCGACTGAACGGGAAGCGAGCCTAGGCATACGCGGGCGTCCGGCAAGACCATCCCGTCCGTCGACCCGGCAAGGCAATCAAATGGATGGCAAAAGGGCAGCGCGATTGTGAGCGGACCGCGCATGTGCTCTGGCCGTGCTCCGGCGGGAATTCGGCGTCTAAAAAAAAAACATCCACAAAAAACGCACCCACACCAGCGACCACGGGAGCGGAAGACCAAACGCCCAGTTGGCGGGGAAAACGAACCTTGGTCTGCGCGGAAGTCCCGCGAGACTGCAGTCCACCGGCCTCGGCAAAGCGATCGACGACGAATGGGGAGAAGGCAGCCTGGTCGTGAGAGAAGCCGAGCATGCGCGCTGGATCGAACCCGCGAGGGTCCGGCCACCTCGAACTATTAACAAAACAACAACGAAGGGAGCAATATGAGGCGAACTGTCAACATGATCCACATTCTACCACCATTGCATGTCGGCGCGGCCCGTACGCTGCGCCTGGCCGCGACGACGGCCTGGTAAGGGCCTAGACAAGCCGCAGCGCTTCCACATGGCCTCCTCCACTGGCGAACTCTGAATAGCTACGGGGCAGGTCAACGAGCGGGCGGCTGCGCCCAAGCATGCATCCAAGGCCCCGGACACAGCACCGCCCAACGCCGGGCCGACTGTCCTCTCGCCGCCCGAACCAACCTCATCCAGCCTCGATCCCTCACTAAACCACCGCAATGCAAACCGTCACCTGTACCCACACACAAAGACAAAGAGGCAAAAATCACTCACGCACTGCGACCCACCAGTCTATCGCTTCAGGCGGGCTCAGCGTCGAGCCGCGTGGCACCTTACGCAGTAACGCACCCGAGCCCCTCCCCCTTCACCCAGCTCTGCGGAAGGGATCCGGTAACCGCGGCTTGCCCCGCCCGGCGGGGGACGGGGTGAAAGGGCACGCTCGGAGCGCCAGCTGTCCGTGGCCCGGCAGGATGGGAGGGGGAGGGGGGGGGGGGGGTCAACAGCCTGGGCACTCACATCGTGTGTGCTGTCGTCACTTAGATGGCTGCAGAACATGCCGACTACAAAAAGTACATGTTACCCTGGGCATGTTCAGCATGGCAGCACCAGCAGCCACATCACAGGAACAGTTTCAGTTCATGCATGCCATGAATCCAAGCACCCTGACTTTGGTATGCGGTCACCAGCATTCCCAGTGCACAGAGGGCCAACATTCCAAATACTTATGACATAAAGGAAATTTCAAGTAACTGTACCCACAAGAAATTTTTACAAGCAAAACTAATTTGAAAATCCAATGCAATTTGGCATGAAATGAGTTTGGTGCATGCACGCACACCCGGTTCAGCACACTGAGAACATGTAGGCGTCAGTGCAGTGGGTGGATTTCTGGCCAATGCCCTTCATTTCCCCACTAATATTAAACATTGGCTCCTACAATACATCAAGACCGGCCATGCAACAAAATTCCAATATTCTCTCATAAATATACAAACCGTATGCATCAGGTACTGCTAAAATCCCACTATATGAGTACAAAAATTAACTTTGACAACACCCAAACAACCCAACGCTCTCATTTCGAACGCAATAATTGGTATGCATTTACCGCCAAAAGATTCGCAAAATGTATCGCAGGCCCCCCATACTTGTGTAAACAATATAGGCTTGCCACAGCTAAATCATCAATGTGTGCGAATCCAAATTGTAGTCGATACAATATTTTGAGAATTGACCAACCATTAATTCATGATATATGTTCAACGGCTCAGACCTTGTCCAAATCACGGTTCCGTGTATTGAGAAGCAACTGATTGCCTATTGTCATCCTCCTTCAATGATGCTTTGTTGTTGAAAACCTAGATTGATAGTGGGTGGAGGGGCTCATCATTTATTAATGATGCATTCAACCATTCTGTGCTGATTATATTGTTTCTTAATCGAAATATTATTTATATACAGTACATTTTCAGTACCTTAAGCTAGATATGAACTGGGATTTCAGGTTGGCAACAACATGAGCCCATGGGTCTGCCATGTCTCCTCGATTTTGCCCATATTCTGTGATGCCTTGAAAATTGTATGCAACTCGGCCTATGTTTGCTGCTAAACCGCGCAAGATCTCGTTGCACATGCTTTCCAAGGGTTTTTTGACGCCCTTAATATCAATGGCCCATACGGTTTCTTCAGCCAGATTGATGAGTATCGGTCGATAATTCGTTGACGCAAATTTAAAGAAAATCGTAGGGGCCGCGTCGTAGACATGATTTTTTCGATCGTCTATAACTTTCCCCTTAGACAAGATAGGTGGTTTTTGTTTGTACATTTGTAATTGGGTTAGCAAGTGCTTTCATTTGATATGCATCTCGGTCCATGTTTGGCGTTAAGCAAGTGCAAAAACCTGTTATGTATGTTTCCTAAGGGTTTTTGACCGCTTAAATTTCAATGTCTCAGAGGGTTGCTTCAGCCGGACTAACACGTATCTGTCGATGGTTCAATGACGCAATTTTGAAGAAAATCATGGGGGCCGCCCCATAGACATGACTTTTTCGATCCTCTATAATTTTCCCCCTAGACAAGATACTAAAACGGCCCATACGGACCTGCAATGATTGTCTTGCAGGCGACTTGCTCGTTCGCCGGTCTCGTTTCTTCTCGGACCTCGTTCAGAGCTGCAAGGCGATAATCTTGCAGAGAACTGCTTGAGTTAGCAAAGAATGCACGCTCTTCCAACGGATGACCAAGTCAGCTGCTATCAATATGTCGTACACTTCATCAGCTCGAGTATTCTGAGCTGCAATGACAATCGGTCGTTTCAGTTATCAATGAGCACAGTATAATGATCAGGAGGACGCATTTACCGTATCAGACAGATTCACAGACGATGGTCGGCCTTCTCATGGCTAAACATCCCCAAACCACGGTGTGCTGCGAAACACAAAGGAATCACGAAGCAAACATATTTTTATTTTCTTCACAGAAAGAGCATCAGCCACTGAAAAGTCATACCAGACATGACACACCAAAAGACCAGGTTGCCGAAATTGAACAGCTTGAACACGCGTTCGGGTGGGTGTGAAATTGACCCCCGAAGATTTTTCCAAAATGATTTCTGAACGGTGTGGCACAGCAGCGCCAAATTTCGCATGGCTGCCAACAATGACATAGCGGATCGTCTGGCATACAGATTAAGATGTACCTTGTAAGGTCGCTGACCTATGGCAGGTCAGTCAGGCCATGGTTTCAGCGAAGGCAATTTCTAGGGAATCATTCAATCTGATCCAACAATGGAGTGCTAGACGAAGGCATACATTTCTGAGATACTTTCTTAGGCAACACAACAATCGAATGTAATAATTGCATTGACATATATAGGGTCAGGTATGAAGTTCAGATCAAGGTCAAAAGCAGCCTGTTTTATTGCTCCAGGGCTTGCTGTATGATGTAGGTTCTGGTGCTCATTTCAAATTCAATGCTAAGAGGAACAACGTTATACACCTTGCATGGACTTCTTAAATGTTAGATTGGGTCACTGACCTAAGATGACTCCGGTTAACATTTTGTTTTTAAGGGACATACTCTTTGTTGCTTATATAAATGCAAAGCTCAAAGCATTCTTGCATGATTTTGGTCACCATAACCTTTTAAAGATCAAACAAGGTTGCTGAAATTAAGTAAACATGTGCCATTTTACTTAGAACAGCTATCTAGGTTCTAGGGGCCCTTTGGAGACCAAGCTGAAATTTGCCTTGTTTGACCTTATTTGACCCAAGGGTCATGAAGTAGGAACCTCAAGCTTTAACCTAAATGAATTCACGAACAGGTCAACACACCCTGTACATTTCGTCTTTTTAGCTCCCTTAGTTCCTGAGATCTCAGAGGGGGTCAAATTGACCCCCCCCCCCACCCTGCCATCCGAGCCAAGGGTATGCAGCCGGCCACCTGGGCGCGCGTTAAGCAAACACCTCGCTGAAAAATTGAAGAATAACAACCCAAATTTTCAAAACTATAACCTGATTTCAGTTGAGAAGCAATAAGGAGGGGGCTTTACATAAGTACAGCGGCTATTATTTGCACTTGCAGCGCACAACAGCACTTGACTATTTTATGATGGCATGGTGCACTTAATATTTCTTGGTTTCCACACAAAAAAACATTAATCACGAATCACAGTCAATATCCATGATCAATCAAATGCATAGGAAATTAGCCTATCATTTGCCGGTCAGGGTATACATTGCTACTTGATGTTAAAAAAGAGCATTGTACACCAATCGTCGTTTTTAAGGCAGAACATATCGTAATTAATCGTAAAAGAGGTCATCTAAGCTCTTACCTTGGAACTTAAATAACTACCATTGCAAACATCCGAGCGCAAACGCGCAGCAATCGCGACCCCAGCGCCATTGCTACGCTTGATCACAACATTACTGCGTGATCACGTTACTGCGCATCAAGAACTATAAAAATGTACGATGCCAAGGTAGCAAGAATCTAATGAAATATGTTCCTTGCGTATCGAAGCAGTCTTCCGTATTGTTTGCAGATTGGTCGACATGGTGGGAAAATATGACGTTTTTGGGTGGGGATGAAAAGCAAAATGGGAATATGGCGGCTAAACAAAACTTCCTAATATGGTACATATATATATATATATATATATATATATATACATATATATATATATATATATATATATATATATATATATATATATATATATATATATATATATATATATATATATATATATATATATATATATATATATATATGTATATGTATATGTTCTGAGCTATTCTGGCCTGTCCGTTTCATAAACGTACCTAGACGCGATAAGAAACGTTTTTCATTGCATTATTATTGTTACCTTGGCCCCGTTCATTTTTTATAGTTCTTGATAAGCAGGAACATTGTAATTACACAGCGGTAACGCTATAAACAGCGCTGGGGAGTCCAGGCGGTGGTGTGTGTGCGGCGCTCGGGAGCTCGCTATCGTAGTTATTGAAATTCGAAGGTAGGAGCATAAATCTACCTGCTTTACGATGATGTACGATATGTTCCGCCTTAAACACGATGAATGATGTGCAATGATTTTTTCTAACAATAGGTGCCTATATATACCTATACCGATTTGCCCCAGCCCCACTCACCGGTAAAAACATCCAGCAGCTAGTTACCAGCGTATCAGATGCGCAAGAATTGTGGACACTGGAACAGGTGGTGGCCTAGCGTTGGCTTATCAAATTCTGAAGAAGGCGCAGCTTACAGCCACGACTGCAGGGCATTTACACTGTATGGTTCTCCCTTGCTGCGATTGTTCCTATATTAAACACATTTGGCACGAAGGCATTTGTTCTGTATGATTTTTCATTTATTAGGCATTTGTGGATGTGTGGAGATGTGTATGAAAACATGATCTCAACATATGACGTCAGTAAGGCACTAGTCAAAGATCGTAAGATGCACATTGCAGCTTTTGCCTATTGTCGAAAGAGTTCCTGAAAATTATTTTGCAATTTTTGGTTGCTTTCATGGACGTTTTTCTGTACAGGTAAGCAAAATTTCACGGATTTGGTTGGCATTACCAAGTGTCAATGATGTCACTGGAGGGGCAACTATTCATGGATAAAATATTATAGCTTTCTTTGGTTTGAAGGCTGGCGTATATCTGCTTCCAGGTCGCTGGAATTGTTTTCTGACGAAATATCTCAAGGTAAGGCTGGGAGCTTTGGCTGACTGTAATTTATCAGCTCTGCTGCCAAAATGCTGCCAGTTCAGAGCGCATGATGCTACTAAATGCGAGGGCATCTCGCATGCATAAATGGTACGCTACAGATTACATTTTTTTCGACCTCTGAGTAAGCAAAAATGTCACATAGGGGGCAGCTTTGGAAACCAAAACAAACGATGCAACGGAGAACTTTGGACCAAAAAGATGCTGAGTATGATTGCATTCCTCAGTGCGCAGGGAGCAGGTAGAGCGAGCAAGAAGAAAGGTTTCTAATTATCTTCCAGTCAACCCCGTGAGGCGAATATTCACAGGTCAGAAAGCTTAATGGACAAGCCTCACCCTCCAAGCACCACCATCTATGGTTCCTGCCAGACACCAGTAGCGCAGGCAAGGGGGGGGGGCACAGGGGGCACGTAAACCCCTTAGATCACGAGGAGCAAATCTGAGGGCTGGAAAGACCCGAAATGCCGCCCGGAGGTCGTACTTAGGGGACTGACAGGCAGAGCCAGGCACTCTAACGCCAGCCAAGAAGTCCTGCGCGCTGATCAGGGAACCCCTGGTAAAGGTCGATAGGTCGGTATATAATGGCCTACATGTTGATCACGCACCATCAATAACGCACAGTCGGCTCCATGTCGGCATGGGTCTGAGGGCCTGCTCCCCAAGCAGGGACAAAGTAGGAGCCAGCGATTTACATTGTCCTGGTTCCTAGCGTCTGCCGGGATGGCCTGGGTTGCACTTTCCGTAAAACCGAACGGCGTTGGCCTCTGCAAATAACGCCTGGCAGCGAGCCGTTGGCGCGAGAACAGCGGCCATGAAATATTTATTTCCGGAGTATTTTAAATTTAAGTCACACCGCTAAGAAAATAGGCTGAGTGTATTTTACCCAACTCTGAGATGGTCCTCCGGGTAACCTCACGAAACCCGCAACACACCAAAAAACAGAGATTCTGTCTTTACTGTTAAAGTTTCACCACCAAAATTCAGCGACACCGCACAAAGCTATAGAGACTAATCCGTTTTTATCATCAATCTAAAAGTCGCGTCGGTGAGATTTACACCCGGTTTCCTTCCTACATGTGCGACTTGATGTCCTTAATTGTTCACTCTTTTCAGGCGCGTCATCATTTTTATCCACCCGTTGGCCACGGCCTAGTATTAGCCGCGGGCTGACGCTGCGCGGCCTAAGGAGACTGCAAGGCCAGGCGTCGAGCTTTTTGTTTCTAAAAATTTGCAAGGCCGCATGTTCAAAACTACGTTGCATAAATTGCATCACTTATCGATTCTGCCTAATTTTGAACATTTGCAGACCAACGTGGCTCGGCCATGTTATACAAATTGTTGAACCACTTTTATGTACCATCTACCTTTGCAGGTTCCTAGTATCCCGGTATAACCGATATAAAATTCATACGGAGCTCCTCAGATCTGTCGGTTTAGAAAGAGTCCGCTGGACCATTGTAAAATGGAGAGCGCCGTCGACCCATTTCATGCAATCGCCTAGCACAGGGTTTCTTCACTTCATTGAATATAATATGCAAACAGAATTTAATTGGCGCTGGCTTCTAGCTTCCATTCCAATAATAGAAGAAAAAATGAAAAAAAATACTTTAAAAAATTTCCCTCGTCGACAAATGAGCCATATCCGGCGACTTTTGTGGGACTTTTAACTATCAGGGGAACGTTTCTCAACTCTGTGCATCTCCCTTGCCAAGATTCTAACTGCACGCCTGCTAAGCAGGCACCGTACTATTTACTCAGGGGCTCAGCAGTCCGTAACCACCTCTCCATTGGCTGCGAGGAAAAGCAGGGTGGCCACCCAGTTCGTAGCACATCAACATTGTATTCAACGTGGTGGATAGAGATCTGCCTCTAGGGCTGGAACAACGCAGAACTTACAACGCAGAATACATGCACAAGCCGACTATAGTGCCACCCACCACCACGTTGCGTTGGCTACCAACCCCTCGATCCCGGTACCACAGCTTGTCCTGTTCCCTGAGGCCTCAACAAAAATAGAGAAACTTTTAAAGTCACAGGACATCACCAAATATCCGTAGAATTCTCGAGGCAAAAAGTCTCTAGGCAACATGGAAACAAACACGCTGCATGTCGTGTCCCAGAAGTGGTGCGGCGATTCTTGTGGTTGGAACATGGATAACGGTATGAAAGGAAGGTAGATCAGTTCTAAGGAACCATGTTGTTTTCATGTACGATCCCATGATGTTTTCACGTAAGGACAGCAAACACCATACAGGAGGCTGCCTGTGGTTGTTCGCTGAGAAATATGACACCTTGGCAATTGTGACGCAGTGGAAAAATGATTGTGCTTACGTTAATGTATTGAACGGACACTTCCTACGACCTGATATATCCAGTATTTTTTATTCTGTCAGTGCAAAGCTATCAGCTGATGGGTGTACATGAAACAACTGGCCTGTGGTCCTTAAACAGAAGGATAAAACCTTTGGAGCATTTTCGTGAAAGACATTTTTCAGTTACACCCGAAGCCTTATCGCTTGTAGTTGAAAACTGCTATCACAGTGTTTAAGATCTAGTAGTTTGCATTTTAAATTCCGTTGTGCAGGTGCCAATATGCCAATTGAGCTCGCAAAAACACAACACATCTACGGTCGACGCGCAGTATAGAATGCCTGTCAACTTCTGATTAGCGCGAGAACAACGAAAGTTCCCCTAAGTTGGGGGACCATAGTGATGCTCTGTACCTTTTCCAGTTAACGGCCATGGAGCGAATGCTAAATTCCAAGGAAGCTGGGCGGGGCCCATCCCCTGCCGTGTAGCCGTGCCCATGTGTAGGCTATTCACTTTCCAAATCGATTGACTTGTATGTGCCTGAAGGTGGGCGCACAACGCGCATGATTGTTCTTACCGCTTAATTTTACCTGGTCGGTATGCGGATAGATGCACCTACCAGAAATGAGCTACGTATGACGTTACTTGCAAGAAGGTAGCTCCATGTTCAGGCTATCATCCTGCAGCGGTTTACGCAGGAAAATATACGCTTTTCAAATTGATTGCATTGTAGTCGCTCGGCATATAACTTTCATTAGCACGTCAGCATACTGCCAGCTAAGTTGCACGCATTCGGATGTTTCGTTATGTTTTCGACCCTCAGCAGTTTGTTCACTATCGGTGCAAAGGCAGTACGATATCTCAGCCGCCCATCTCTGTTGCAGTTTGCGCATAAGCGTGTTCAATTCCGACATCGACCTACTTGTAATGGTTGGCTGCATAAGTTTCAAAGCACATCATAATAATCGAAGTTAAGTTTTACGCGATTGGCTCTCTGGTCATATGGACCTGCCGAGGACAGTTTGTTCATTATCGATGCGACCAGGCCTGGATGTTCTAGCTGTTTTATCTTGTATAATTATCGTGTGTACGTTTTCATTTTTTATGCCGCGGCATTTTAGGGTTAGTGATAATGAAGCGGTTTTAAGTATAAGTTAGACTTGCCAAGCACACTATCACACTCGACATAAGATCATACGTAACGGGCTCGATGGACATGTGCATCCCCCAATAACATTTTGTTCATCATCTGTACGAAGATTTCCGATGTTCCGCCTGCCCCGCAGCTTTACGCCCCACGGCTAGCGGCCGCACCGCGTTCAAGTCTCGGCACCAATGACGTCACCGCCCTAAGAGAGCAGGTGAAAAGCCGACCTATGACAAACCCCACGCGCGGCATTCCCCTGCTTTCATCTAATATGACACATCAGACGCTAGCTCGAAAATGTGCAGCCTGTACGCGCTTATCAATCCCGAATGGGCGGGGAAACCTGTTTTAAGACTGAACATCCGTGTGCGATATGATGCTACCATGACTTCGGAAGTATGAATTACTGTTTCAGAAGTAAACTTAAACCAACTAGTCTTCAGTGATGACGTCATCCTTGTCAGTAATTCGCTCGTAGAAAGATCGGAGAAAGATGAGGAAATTTTTGAAGGTTCCAACTTTCCCCCAACGGCTTCGAGAATGCGTGTGTTTTGTTGTATTATGAAATATGTTAACACACAGCGTTCATCGAGTATAACTATTCCAGTTTGCTTGTTCTCACTCCCGCGTCCGCCAAAGCTCCTGTCAGAGTTCAAGGGTTGATGAAATGCCAGTGCGATGGCGGTCACATGCATTTTTATTTGAGTCATATTTGTCGTGCAAAGGTCGCATGACGCCACCATCTGGTGATCGACACTTGCCCGTGCGTTGTGACCGCTCAAGCCAATGCCAGTTGGATTTCAGACGGCAGCAGATCCGCTGTGTAAACCGAGCTCCGTCAAGTGCGCTCGTGCTGCTCGGCGGATGATGTGGTGATTGTTTTTGAGAGAATCTGAGTAGCTAGCGATCATAAGTTCACGTCTTCACGTTAGTCTTCATCCACAAGCGATCGCTTTAAAGTCATGTCGCGCTCAAAACAAGGTATGTACGCCCAAACGGTGCCACTTTTGTGCCCGCAGGCTCCAGGGCGCGGGTTTAAAAACCCAGCATGGATTTTAGTGGGTATTGCTGACTACAGTACGGGCACTGGCGGGTGTTCTACATCTCTTTCTTATCCCACTTGTGTTTTCCTAACCACAAATGCATGCCATTTCACCGACAGATAATTTATGGCATGCTGTAGGTTTAAGAGTAGGCTGCCATCGTTGAATAATTCTCAACAAATGACGCTACGTTTGGGGAGGGCGCGGGGAAGACAAATTTCATCGAATTTATCTGAATTCGTAAAAAGATGGAGATTTAAGACCGCGTAAAGATGCGTTTAAGATGTTGCAAAGTACCTAATATCTGTAATGCAGATCTGTTCTTAAGACCTAAAAACTGGATAGCCTAAGATTACTCGGATGGCCTGCAACAGGTTTGCTTTTCTTTCGAATCTCTAGCGCAGTTGGGGCGAAGCTCACTACCCTTTTGGGGACACAACGCTTAACACAACGTAACCAGGGGGAGGAGAGGATTTTACCTACTGTGTGCGGTGCGCAAAGAGGGAGCACGGAGTTAACGCAAAACATAAATGAAGTAAGCCATCCAAATTTAGAAACGTTCCACAATTGAAGATATTAAAGCAAGCATCAGATAAGAGGAAGTAATTTCGCTGATAACCACTATGAAAGTACTTTATACTAATATCACTTTAAGTGGAAAAGACGTCCTAGACCGCACACAGTCTCCATTGAGCAAATCTGCTCCTCAATACGTCATTCTTTCATAGCGTCATGGGGGGTTTGCATCCTGCATTCACTATAGTTCTTCAATTTCCCCAGAGGTGGTTCGCGGCGGCTGCTGGATGTGTGCTGAACCAAATTTCGTTAGGCGCTCGTGTTTTGGGCATTTCTCGTGTTGTTGCCTGTCTTTCCGTTTGCTAAGGTGCTTACTTGGGTTCATATGCTCGGTTGTGGCGCTTTTCTTAGGTTGTTCGATTGCAATGTCCTATTTCTGTAATAGCTGGGAGGAATGTAAAACTTCTTGCATTACGCAGCACAAAACGTAATTTGTCTTAGTAGATTCGACCCTCCTTCTGAATCCTCCCGACGCCCCGTTTATCCGGGACAGGCTGCATGCGTCAGCCTCGGATGGGTCCAGAGGTCTTCTGAGAAGGGAACCCCGACTGGGCGGCCAGCGCACACTCCGCGGGGTCCTTGCGTGGGTTGAAGTTAGGCGGTCGGCTCCCCCAGGCGCATGTAGTCCTGCCCCACCGTAATCCGTTCTCCGTCATTTCATAGCCTTGAAATGATCACTTGTGGTCGAAAGGGCTCTAATCCAAACCACCAATAACCAGCAAAATTGTGAGTACCTTTTATAGCTTGCACAAGATTGGTTGAAAGCCAACTGATAACTGTTTTTTTTTTTGGAAATCGTTCTCATGAACCCCATATTTGAACCACTCGACAATCATGCTTTGCTTTATTTTGAACGCCGCATGGCCAGTGAAATGTAAGTATTTGAATGACATCGCATCATGGATGCTGGGTAACTTTAAAACGGTCTGCACGAAATCGTCTGCACATCTTCGCGGGCGTGTAGTTGAGAAACTAGGGTTTTGAGGTCATGCGAAGGACGAGGCTTTAAACTGCATCAAATGATCTTTAAGATGGCGTTTCAGTTAAAAGATGATACCAAATATGGAACACTCCCTTGGGCGTTAACACCATATATTTGTTGTCATCTTTCTTGTCAAGGAATTATAAATGAGACTCATATTTACTTGGTATGAAAGGGTTTGAAGTCAGAAGGCTGCTTGGTATTGCTATTGATCTGTCCTGCATCAATGACGGAGAAAATGGCACAAAGTGAGCGTAATTGTTAGCGTCCCTTATTTTAATTTCAAATTTCAAACACCAATCGAATTCTCATGACCATCTAAAACTCCTTTTCGCGTAACACGTAAGCTGTCCCTAGAACTGTTTGCTGGCAGCCCCCGGGCCGATTTGAATGTGCTGCAGTTCAGTGACCTTTAAGAAGAGTTTTAATAATTTTGCACCGCAACGTAGGCATTTTTCATTTTTACAGCTTTGTTCTACAGACCTTATCTGAGCCTTTTAAATGAATGAATTTTTGGGTACAGAGCTCACGCTAAGCAGGTCTTGTGTGGGCCCTGACAAGTACGAGCCGAACATGCAATTCCAGGCGAACAGCAAAAGTTGGTGGCGAACATTTAACGCGTTGCAATGACGGGCGCCGTTCGCCCTGCCCTTCGGCGTCACCTAGTCCTTACCGCGACCGCTGCCACTGGCCGCAGGGCATAACTGTGCAGTAGAAATAGGGACCGCCCTAATAAAGCAACCCGCACCCACCCCACCACGGGCAGTTCGGGTTCCGATCCGCCTGGTTTGGAACGTGCTGGTTTGGAACGCAGACCCTTCAACCAACTGGCCTATCGGGACAGACCAATGCAATAACCGAAGTTCTTACTCCATTTAGATGACGTTTTAAGACATAATCAGGGAAGTCAAATTGATGCTTTAGTAAAGTCCGTTTTTTTGCACCAGCTTGCAGGCTGCCCTGAAAAATTGACAGCTGCCTGAAAGCTGTGCACCCAAGATCAGCAACTTAATTTGCCGTGATATGCAAACATTGACATCCTTAAACTGCAACATCTATGAGTATTTTTGATAATACTTTCAAATCTTCAAAAGGTTGAATGCATGCCACATGCGACCACGTCGTGAAGTGCAGCCGAGCAGATATTTTTAAAGGTTACCAAAAGCAATACAATTTGGTAACGTGCATTGTTTATGTCACTGCAGTCGCATGGCGCGAATAGGTTTACAAACTCATAATTCTGCAATAAATCTCTCCCCCATTTTAATACCACTGGCGTGGTTCGCCCGCGTTGGTATGGTGACGCAGGTAGCCTTAACTATTTAGCTCGTAAACTTGCGACACGATAGCCAGACTCCCTAAGCTTTCGAGGGCATCGAACACCAGCCCCATCCTGTTCACTGTATCTTAGCTCTCGAATTAGACATCCGTAGTGCGTAAGGAACGAGTCTCGCTGATGTCAATGCCAGCAAAATATCGGCGGCGGATATTTCGAATCAATCTCATTACGGTTCTGATTCTTTTCCCGATGCTCTAATCCTTCGACGATCAAGGATACGCTGCGCACAAAATAAAACCACGTACTGAAATATGTCGAACAAAGGTTCATTGCTGCATCAAAACATCATCCTGTCGCCAGGCACCGGATGGATTTTGCTGATGGTGGCTGCATTTGCTGGGGCCTGTGTCCCAAATGGCCTGGACTTGAAGCTGTTGAAGGCATTGACGACTGATTTGAGCAAGAACCAGGCTATTGCTCCGTTCGTCATGTCCTCGCTGATGACACAGGTCTGGCTCGGAGCCAGAGGCGACACCAGGGATGAGGTACGTGCCAGGTAACGAGCTCTGTACACCGTACCACTGACTTAGATTGCACGCGCACCGAAGTACTGTCTCAGATCACCCAGTGCACGTAAATGCTTGGAGCGTGCTGAGAAAGGTGGGCAGTGACAATGAACGAGGGCCTTCAACGGCGATGTGTTAACAAGGATAATTTGTGTGACCGCTGCTTTACCTACCAGATAGCCTTCCACACCCACGGACGAAAATCGATTAGTGTAACTTAAATTACCCATGTGTAATCTATTGCATATTCCGCTAGGCCACATAAACAGCTTGTATGGTTGCAACGAGGTATTGTAATTTAGCTCATCTTCAGTCTTTGACATTGAAATACCTGCGTGAACTTGCGTTGCCAATTACTCTTAAATCATGTGGAAGTGATGTTTTCGATGCATGCGGAGGTTTGCACCATTTGTTCCCGCACCTTCTTCCGAAATTGAACTTGAAACTTGTTTGTTTCCGCTTCCGAACAATAAAATAAGATGTATACCCACGAATTAATTGGATCATTTTGAACAATGGTGTGTTTCTATAACGCAATTTTTACCAATATGTCGAGCATCGGGGCTCGATCAATGCGTTCTGATGAGTAACACCCACACCTTTTAATCCTATAATTACATTTTGTATGATTCTCTTGCCCCCAGATGACGACAGTGCTAGACATAAGAACGACAACCGGATGCCAGCTTTTTAACAAGTTACCAAAGTGCCATCAGCGATCTCACCGACGGTTCCAGTAACGTCACTACCGGCGTCTTTAATCGGATATACATCAAACATGGCTTCAGCATCAAGTCGGGATTTAAGGATCTGTTGCAAAATCACTACTTCGCGGGCGTGAAGAAGTTTTCATCGGCGGCGCAGGCGGCGAAGGAAATAAACTCCGATGTGGCTACGGTAACACGAGACCGCATCAAGAAACTTGTCTCACCGAGTACTCTGCAAAACGCCGTCATGGTCCTGGTCAGTGCCTTGTACTTCAAGGGCTTGTGGCTGACTCCGTTCGACATGACCGTGAAAGGACCGTTTCTCACGGCATCAGGGAACAAGCAGGTCGACATGATGAAGCTTAGAACCCGAGTGCCGTATGTAAAGATGCCTCATTTTGATGCCATCTCCCTGCCGTACACGGACAAAAACTATGTTATGCTGATCTTGCGTCCACTGACACGTAACATGGCTGCCGTTTCCCGTCTGAGGGATTCTCTGGACTCCCTCGATGTCAGCGATATCATGAAGCGTTTGCGCGCATCATCCGTTCAGATAAGTATGCCTCGATTCAAGATAAGAACAGAGTACGGACTGGCGGGAACCATGTCACAGTTGGGAATTCGCAAAATCTTTACGTCCCGGGCAGATCTGGGTAACATTGCCGATGAGCCGCTAGCTGTTGACGGCATTATCCACAAGGTGTTCATGGAGGTGACAGAGAATGGTACCGAAGCTGCAGGAGCAGCAGCCATTACTTTCGTGATCACAAGCGTACAGCCTCTACCCATTCAGTTCACCGCAGATCGTCCCATCTTTGTCATTGTCTGGAACAAGAAACACATGATCAACTTGTTCTCTGCGTACATAGGTTCACCAAACGTGAATGGCTAAGATCATGCACGCTATTCTGAGACCAGGCGTGGGACCCACACTGAATAGCGTTGGTCGCATTAAGCATGCTGTAAGTGCAGTTCATGTGGCGGCAGCTCCTATCATGGCCGGGTGCGACCGACAAAGCTGATGTCACACAGTCTGGAATAAACGGGTGGAAGGCTGGGATCCTTTCGTGACGAAGCTCTTCTGTCCTTTATGCGTCACCTTACCACTACTGTTGGGGCAAATATAGGGAAGTGCTTGCCGTTTGCAAGCATTCTCCTAACTCATCGTTTGTGTTGAGCACCTTTCGTCCTCTGCACCACTGTTAAAGAGAATGCCACCATCTTTGTGCTTTTTATTCTTGGATTTTCATTGGAGTGTGTGGGCGATCTGTGGGTAAGGCAACCTGCACTAATTTGGGCAATCTGGTGCCTTAGAAATATACGCTTCTGCGGAAACGTTGTCTGCTTGTCACATTCTACCACTTCTTGAACGAGTTGGCTTTGAAAGATAAAGAGGAAAGCAGGTTCGATATACGGAGTAAGCGCATCGCTGCAATAGTCGTGGTGCTTCCTGAAGATTTGCAAAGAGAGAAAATTTCACGATATCTTGTGGAAAGGCTCGAAGTCTATCCCAGGATGCAATGAAGAACGCACAAACATGCCTGAAAATAGCAGTTTCTGCTCCGCCTTGATGCAGGGATTGCACAGGTTATGTGCGTCGGGAAGCGTTAGGCGGCGTTTTAGGACATTTACGGGAGAGGTTGCCCGCAGTTCTGGACAGTCGTGGAACGCATTATAAAACTACGCAGAGTTTCCAACAATTTTGACAATGCATACCAAGATCCACATAGCGCACAGCTAGATTCATGAATGCCGATCTTCATGCCGTCGCCGGTTTTTGCCAGCCAGCCAGTCGTCGGTAGGCGGGGCATGTCCTGCGAATGCAAGAAGGCAGCGGGCGGCGCGGTGTAGTCTTAATGCGAAGCGACCTGTACCGGGCTACCCCTTGTAAAGGACCAATCATGCGTCTTACCCTTGATACGGGACATCTAGGATAGCGCCTCTCTACCTTCTGTCCGACGGGGAAAAAGGTTGTTAACAACTTTTGTCAGGCTGAAATTGACAGTCATATCACTTTGGTGGCGCTTTGGAGACATGATGTAACAATGGTTGATCTAGCCACGTTTAAGGTACAACGCGAGCGCCTGATGGAGGCTGCGGGGCATCGGGGGCACAGGTAGGGTGAAAAGGCGCCTTTTATGTCACAGACACAATTGTGAACTAACTTGTCACTTAGAGTGAAATGTATCAGAAAAACAACAGTTTGGTTGGAGTCTGGTTGTTTTTACGATGTGAAGACCTGACTGGCTTGAGAATGCAGCTGATGGTCAATTGCTTTTTTTAAAGACGCTTTCTGGCTTTTCTAAGGATCTGTCAATAAGGGCGTCGCTGATAATAACTTTAAACAAGCCCTGCCGACCTATGAGACTTGTTGTTTGTGGATACCAGGACATAAGCATCAGAAGTCAACGGAGGACATTGAAGCGAGACTCGTCGAAAATTCATCTTGGGCTTCCTGCTGCTAAGAGGAACGGCGGCTTTGATACAAAATGCCGATTGCCGAGCATTGCTGGTGTAGGTCTCCAACACTGCCTGTCGCGCCTCAGACTTAGCATTCTGACCGGTGGGCAGGGAATAGATAACAAGTTTTTAATCGCCATTTTATCGTACATAGTGCTAAATGGAAGCAACTGAGGTGTTAAAAAATGTCTTGTACATCTGCTGATACCAATATTGTGTGGGTTTCGTATGAAGTACGAGCTCTGCGGCAGTAATGGATAAGCAAAGGTAGTGACGGTCGCGAGCGCTTCCAGCTGATTTACGATGATGTCCCCAAATGAAAGCTTTCAGGTGCCTGTAGACCCATGCCATTGGTAAACGAAGAGGTACATGAATGCAGTTTTGCAAAATGCGTAGAGATGAATGCGCAGAAAAAAAATGACTGAGGCTGCCCTTCGAAATGGGCGTGAACGTTTTCTCGACAGATTCGGCCCACTTTCTTTTGAGACCTAGGGACAGGGATGTAGTGTCTCAAAATTTGTTTTGGGGCGGATGAACCCTAAAAATGATGAGTAACGAAAAGCAATGAATGAAAATAATAAACACAAATAGAAACTGCATCCCTGTTTATAAGGCACAATTCTGTCCCCCCCCACAACTGAGCAGAAACTATACACTAACTAGACTGGCTATGCTAAGCATATATATATATATATATATATATATATATATATATATATATATATATATATATATATATATACATATCTTCTTTCCAGTGCTCGATAGATAGGGTTATTGTAGGATCTTAGAAGAATTGGGGAGAGGGAGTTCGCCAGACACCTCTGCACAGGTAAGAGATCCACGCCTTGCACCAGGAAGACCTTTTTTCACCATCACCGTCACCTGATGTCGTAAATCTTGTGGAATATCTTAAAGCGTTAAAACGTGTTAGAACTTTTGCTACATTTTAAAACTTGTTATACACTTGCATGCCAGTGTTGCAAGTTACGTCTGCACCCTTCCAATTGGAACATCATAAGGCCTGTTTCGCCCATTTTTGTCAAGCATGTTACCCCACCTATTTTTCTGGGTCATATTGGAACATCATGCACATGATCTTACCATAAGGTTTCATTTGATTAGTTCCGTGTTGCGGCAGGCCTGCTCAACATTGATTGAGCCGTCCAAAGACGTCTGTTACATCTAGAAATCGTACTCACGAAAGCCAGGTGTGAACAGCTCGACGATACTATTCTTATTGACCTTGCACGGTGCATGGTCAATGGCGTTACGCATCCCTAAATGACCTTGGAATAGTCTGCGCAAAATGGCTGCACATCGTTACGGGCGTATAGTTAAAAAAATAGAGGCTTATGGGTCTCAATAAGGGCAGGGCTGTGAGCTGCACCAAATGATTTCCAGCATGGTTATTCCACTTCAAATCCCTATACAAATGTGCAACACCCATTTTGAGATTTTCCGAGACCATTCCTGAAAGGTTTAGGGCGACGTGTTGAGATGTTGAGTACTTGGGCTCACATCGCTCTTACACATCTTGTGAAGGTTAAAGTTTCTATCGCTGACAGTTAATGATCTATGACCTCTTTTTTCAAAGTCATCTCGGTGACATTTTGCTTTTTGCTTTTGCATTTTCTTAAGGAAAGGTCATCGATGGTCAGGCATGTCAGACCTTGACCAGATTTGAATTCTTGCAAGTGATGTGATTTATGTTCAATTTTTAGTTCAATTTTTCAGCTATTGGAGTTCGAACCCCTTAGAAATGCTAAACACTTACTTCCAAGAACCGCGCTTTTTCCTTAGCGGCAAATATGTCGGGCGTACATGGGGGGGCGTGTAGCTAAACCCTTCCATGCTTACGACTCAATTTTTCCGTGACCTGATTCTACGCTTCGGATGCCTCCTAGTACCAATTTTCAGTAAAACTGGACAGCCGTGTTACGGTAAGTGGAAGACCGCACGCATCACCAAGTGGCGGTTGCCTTGAAACGATTTTGGATGCCAGATAAGAAGATAAAAGACCATGGTCAAAACCAACCTGTATTGCTCTAAGGCTCGCTGTATGGGAAAGTTTATGGTGCTCATTTCGAAATAAATGATAGCAGTACCGCATTTTACATCTTCCATGGACATCTTAGAAGTCAGAATAGGTCATTGAACGAAAATGACCCAGGTCGACATCTTGTTTTTAAAAGGTCACCCTTCAAGGTCAAGAGGTCAAGGTCACCCTTCAAGGTCAAACGTGGGCTCAAAGGACGGGGAACTCCATATCACCCAAAACTTACCGGCTGGTTTTAAACTTAAAGACATCAAACTAACCACCACAGAAAGAGTTCGTCAAAAATCCCTGATCTCTCAAGGTCACCGTTCAAGGTCAAACGCGTGCTCAAAGGACGGGGCAATCAATATCATCCAAAAATAACCCATCGATTTGTGACTTACAAACCTCAGAATACTCCCCACAAAAAGAGCTAGCGTCCGTCAAAAAGTCCTGCCTACTCAAAGTCATCTTCCAAGGTCAAACGCGGGATCAAAGGGCGGGTAAGTTCTTGTCATCTAAAAACTGCCGGCCGAATTTAAGCTTAAAGACATCAGAATAATCAGCAGAGAAAGAAATAGCGTACTTCAAAAGGTCCTGGCCTCTCAAGGTCTTCCTTCAATGTCAAACGCTGGCTTGGACCGCGGGAACTCCATATCACCCAAGCAAAGCCAAGTTCAAACTTGCAAACATCAGGATATTCACCACAGAAAGAACTAGCGTCCGTCCGAAAGTCCTGACCTCTCGAGGTCACCCTTCAAGGTAAATTGACTTTAAGTTGTAATTACGTTAAAGTTGTAAGCTAAAATTCGGTCGGCAGTTTTAGGGCGGTGTGGAGTTCCCCGTCCTTTAAGCCAGCGTTCGAAGTTGTAAGCTAAAAATCGGCCGGTAATTTTAGGGCGGTGTGGAGTTCCCCGTCCTTTAAGCCCGCGTTCGATCTTAAGGGTGAACTTGAGAGGTCAGAATTTTTGACGGACTCTAGCTCTTTCTGTGATGAATGTTTTGATGTTTGTCAGTTAAAAATCGGTCGGTAATTTTTGGGTGCTCAGATCCACTTTTATACATTCAAAGGCCACTTCCTCATCATTATGGGTGGCATTTTGATATGACGCATGTAATTATTTGATGAGGGGGATATGACCTATATGCCCTTCCCCTTAGACACTCTATTAGCCATGACACGCCCTGCGAGGAAGCAATATTTTGTTCAGGATGCCCCTGGAAAATCCTACCCCGCCACCCAACTGAAAACCTACGGCACCGCCTCTGTCCTAGCTTAACACATTATGCTCGCAGTGTAGAAATGTTGTCCGTGTAGTGAATCCACGTGAAATTAAATTCACTTTCACGATTCACTTCCGCTATTTTTTCCATACAAGGCATGTTGCCGCAATATCTTCCGATCCGTATCTCCCCTCTCCTGTTTTTTTTTCTGTGGGGAATAAGGCTGTCACCGCTGTGTTATCTATGCGAATAATGCTATTTGATAACACACTGAACAACTTCGTGTCGTGGCATGGTCTGAATCTCTCTTTGGCGGGTACGTATTGGTTGCAAGCACTGTTTCTCAATCAGAAGCCATAAAAGTACACCGCAGGGACGATACCACGCCGTCAATTCTTACATCAATGCATGTTTCAGGGAGAGAAGCTAACTTGGAGATGACCAGCATTCCGGGATGCTACTCATCGTGCATAACAAGCAAAGATATAGAGCAGGACATTGTCAACCTGCTGTTTGAAAGCCATGCACCTATGAAAAGCCAGCCTCTTCGCCGGCCGACTGTACATCGTGTATGCCTGCGAAGGCAGCCCGAAACGATACGGCAAACGGCACTCCGGGGAAGTTTCCTCGGGGAAAAATATGTAGAGTAAACTTCTCTACCGGGCCTTGTTGGTGTTTGCGCCAGGCTCTGCTTTCATGGTGTGGTGGTAATACCAAAAAATAGGGGATGCGTGAAAACCTTGCATTTGGTGCACAGCTGTAGATTGTGATGCATTTTATTAACAAACCAAACTTAATGCGTGCAAGCGGTTGGGGTCGCCGGGATTCTTGGGCTTGGAGGTACCTGGCGCCCTTGCTCTGTACATGCATAGACATGATTCAGATGTAGGTGAGGCAGGACATAGCCAGAGGTGTCTAGGTTCTGTGGAGCATCGTTTACGATTGGTGGTTTCAAGTGAGCTCGGTTTTGGATGACGTCTAAAAACCTCAGAAAGGGAAATAGAGGTTTGGCATGTGCGACTAGACAATGTCAGGCAGGAGCGAAAAATTCGCATAAAATATGGGGAAAAGGCATGAGAAATTCCTCCTCATAGGGTGTTGCTTTACACCCAGTCAGGAATCCTAGGGCACTGCTAGCAAGTTAACGAAGGTTAGACCACTGTCGCATCATGGCATGTTATGACAAGACTAGGTGGTTGTATTACATGGGCCAAAATATGCACATTATTTTTAATAACTAAGCTTCGAAAGCTCTTTGGCTTTTCACGTGCAACATTACTTGACATGACCTCTGTTAGTAATTCTGTGGAACCACGTGAGCATGACTGACCCTGATTCGCATTCAATCAAGCCAGTCATTGAATCACATCTAAGTGAATTAAACCAAGAAAGGTATATGTGAACTTCTGTCTGTGGAAGCAAAAAGTGTGGATGCTCTCATTGACGACCCCATAATGCTGTCCCCAGCCGAGCACTAAAAGGGCTCCTCATACCGTGTGAAATAAATTAAATGATACGCGCTGACAACTTGGTGGACTCAAAACGGCTCGGAAGTTGTTCCAGAAATTTGCTGAAACCTTAGCCCCCCCGTCCACCCCTAACCACCCAGTGGCGCTTGAGGTTAACACATGAGTATGACTCGCTTATATTGATGTTTCGACTCTTGTCATCAGGCTCTTTCAAATCTGTTTACGTGAATTATGTTTAAAGTGTAAGCTATTCCAGCTTTTTGTTACTATACAAGGCGTCACCAAATCGCCTGTTGCATATCACCCGGCGACTAGACGGTACCGCGGCGCTGCGGCACACTACCATCTGAATCACAAATGTCATACAAAGGCCGCGTGACGCCACCGTCTGGTCATCGGCAGTCCCCCGTGCACAGCGACCACTCGGGTCGCTGACAGTTGGGCCCCAAACGTCAGCTGACCCTCTGTGGAGCCTGAGCTCCACCGAGCGGACTTGTGCTTCTAGTCGGCTGTTGCTCCTGTCGTTTTGTAAATGATCTGCTAACGGAGATATATCAGCGTATTTACTGCAGTCTTCATCGGCAGGCAATCGCGTTCAGGTCATGTTGCGTCCAAAGCAAGGTAGGTTAAACCGATACTCTGGGTTTTCAGGTTCTGTGTGCCCTAAACACTCTCCCTGATAGGGGAGTTGGTGCAGCCTCCCCCCGCCCCCCCCCCCCCCCCGCCCGCCACGGTGTTATGAGGATACCTCGCTCACATTTGTAATAAAGGTTAGATTTCAGAAGCCTATGGAGTATTTGTTGCGCATGATTTTACTTGTCTTGTTTTAGAGCATCGGCGTTCTTTTAAGAAGATGTACGGCAATCCACGGCCGGTGCGGGCGGCGGGCTGCAACCGACGATGTCTCAGAACGCGCGCGGTGGGCCGACATTGCTACATTAACTGAGCGATGTGTCCTAAATGTTCCCCAAAAAACAGGTACAACTATTACTGTTGTACTTGACATTGAACATGAAACACGCCTGTTTGAGTTTGGCATCGCTCCAAATCATGGCCTCAATGATATGATGTAACGCTAAAAAGTTCGATTTTCTGAGAAGCTTAACCTTTGACCTGCCATAATGGCATCAGTTATTGACTTAGCACCATCAACATAGTTTCAATCACGAGGCCTTGTTGAGGTTAACACTCTGGTGCTCCCCGCCAAACTCTATCTATTCTAGTTTGTAAAAGACTGAGAACGCACCAAACCCTCATCCAGTCCGCGCTTTGAAAAAAACGGCGAATCATGCCGTGGGTTTAAGCGCATCTGAGTGGGTGTTTTTATGCGTTTAATATTTAAATTTTAAAGTTCAAAGCAGGTGACATGGCTGACTGTCCTTCCTAACAGAATTGTAAAGTCACTTACTAGTATTTGCAAAACGAACGTCGGTCGAGTGTATTTGTAATGTTAAAGGGGGTTTTCGCACATTTGTATCAGGGTTTGAACTGAAATAGCCATCTTGAGGATCACTCGATGAGCTTACAGCCCTAGCCTTCTTAAGACCTAAGACCCTCTAGTTTCTGAGCTATGCGCCCGCAAAGACGTGCAGACTTCTTCGTGCAGACTATTTCAGGGTTGCCCAGGCAACCATAACGCAATAATAACATCGCTGAAATGCTGTAATTGCATTGGCCATGCGGCGACCAAAGCCAGTAAAGATGTAAATATCAGGTCCCTCATATTCACCGTTCGTGAGCGCGATTTCCAAATACATCGGACGTTCATTGATTTGATTTGATTTGATGTTTATTTTCGATTATGGACATTAAGCAGTACATGATATGATGAGTGGATTGGCGCATAAGCGGAACGCTTAAATCTGAGCGCCTCTCCTAACAATAACAAGATATGGTCATCGTCGCCAGGGAACCCACGACACACCGCCCACTCGCCCGATCCGTAAGCCGACAAGGGCCAGACGCCCGCCGCCACTCCAGTCTACGCATACAGCCGTCTCAACCCGGCGGCGGACGCCCGGCCCGACAACGCCACCCAGTAGCCCGTCTGCTGCCCGCGCCCGCTGGAAGTTCTTAGGCGAATCGTTTGGTCTGAAAAAAAATGTTTGGAAAATTATTGCCATGTGCTGCCCATTGCGATCCTGTAAACCGTTACCTGTGAGATAGATACGTAGTTGCTCGTTGTGAGTGAGCTCAGAAAAGTTTGGAATGATACAATCTGTTTTACGTAGCATTGGAATTCGGGTTTCATGATAGCGAGGACAGTTCAGTACAAAGTGTTAAGGGTCTTCGTATGGATAGCCACATAAGCAAGAGGGACTAGGTGTAGTTGGATTTTGAATTACGAACAAGTGGGCATTCAGGTCTGACATTCCTAATATCAGCCTAGTATTTAGGATGTTACCATGCCTGGATCCAAAGCTGTGATACACCGGGGGCGCGGCCAAACCGAAGCGCTGGTATATTTCCCGTTTGAAGGAACGAGAAGACTGGAGGGATGACGTCTCAAGCGGGAGCTGGTTCCATCTTCTCGTAGTTGATGGAATATAGGATTTTTGGTATGCTGAGGTTCTGTTCGGTGATAATGTGTCATTGCATTGCGTAGTGGGCGTCCTGTTGCAAGTGCTCGTGTGTCAGGTAGAAGTGCAGTGACGTTTGTTGGCCGTGGATGTTGGTTGTGTATGAGGTTGTGGAACAGTGTCAGTTTGGGCATGTTTCTTCGTGATTTGAGAGTGTCCCATTCCAAATCGTCCAACAGTGCGTGAGTGTGTGTTCTGTGGAGTGTACCGGTGATTAGTCCTGCTGCTCTGTACTGCTCTGTAATCTGTCAAGTCTAAGGGAGTCGCTGGTTGTCAAAAGTCCTCAATGCTCTCAATGTTGTGTAAGCCACGATGACGTCATCAAACAAATGACACTTTGTCATTAAACAAAGACGCATTGAGTGGCATAGCTGCTAGAAAGCGAGATTGTGTTGTCCAGAGCAGCATTTTTTCACTTAAAAGTATACTAATGGTTATAAGTAAGCTTATTTCATCATATCTGATGCTTGCTTTAATATATTTAAATGTGGAACATTCTCTCTGAGCGCAGTTTGAAACGCCGAGTATTGACAATGTAACCACCATTGCCTTCTGGCATAGTACAGGTCGATAACGCAGCATGATATCTGTTAAGTTATTACGCTGAAAAACCAGCAGCAAACAATTTGTCTCACCTTTGTTTTTATTTTCAGGTTCATCATGGATGCTGCTGTTTTTTATTGTATTGGCTGAAGCAGGTGTCCCTTCCAACCTGGACTTGTAGCTCTTGGAGGGCCTGGCAACCGATTTGAGCAAGAACCAAGCCATCGCCCCGTTCGTCATGTCCTCGCTCATGACTCAGGTCTGGGTAGGAGCCACGGGCGGCATCAAAAACGAGGTACGCTGCTGGGAATGCGCACTCTGCACTTGTATATTTTTGTTAAGACCATAAACAATGCAACGTGATGGAAAACGTATCACGGTCAGTATTCTGGTTTCATTCCGCTGGGATAATTGGCGGCTTTCGTGTTCTCGCTGGCCTAGTCTCGCTCCTATGACCGTCGATGGATCTATTATCGTCAAGTACGATGGAAACACATGGTAGGTATCATTTAACTTCCATGCCATGGAGCTTACATCGCAAACATTTGTTTTGTGGTGTTCTAACCATATTTTTAACTGGCTGGCAACTTGTGCCTCACAGCTATTCATAAGAAAAATAAAGCAATAAAACGCTTGATCAGTTCACACGTAGTGTGTAACACGCTAAAGAGTAACACATCAGTTCTGAGATTCCGATTAGCATCTGCGTCCCATATGCCTGCAGATGACCCCAGTGCTGGGACTGAGCGGGCCCAGCGACAGGTCTTTCCTGCCGGCCTACATGTCTGCCATCGACGAGCTCTCCAGCGGCTGCAGGGACGTCACCACCGCCGTCTTCAACCGCATCTACCTCCGCAACGGCCGCACCTTCAAGCTCACCTTCATGGCTCTCCTGCGGCAGTACTACGGCGCTGACATCAAGACGTTCTCCTCGGAGGCGCGGGCGGCGGCCCAAATCAATGCCGATGTGGCCAGGGTGACCGCAAACCGCATCACGGACCTCATCTCCGCTCACGCACTGCGCGAATCGGGGCTGGTGAGTGTGTGAGTGCACTCTATTTCAAGGGCCAATGGCTGAAGACGTTTGAGAGAGAGAGGGCTGGTGCTGGTGAGTGCACTCTATTTCAAGGGCCAATGGCTGAAGACGTTTAAGCGAACAGTCAAAGGCCCGTTTTTGACCGATGCCGGTGAGAAGCAGGTCGATATGATGAACCAGTACACGGTGCTAGCCTACATCAAGAAAAAGACGTTTGATGCCATACCGCTGCCGTACAAGGATGAAGACTATGTCATGCTGCTTTTGCGTCCCCTGATGCGTGATATGGCTGCTGTCAGACGTCTGCGCAATTCTCTGGGCTACCTAGATATCGCTGATACCATGCGACAGCTCAACAGGCGGCAGCGTGTCCGTGTTGGCATGCCTCGTTTCAAGATAACGGCGGACTATTCGCTGAAACACACCATGAAACGTCTAGGAATCACGAAACTCTTCCTCCCTTGGGCCGAGTTCGGGAACATCAGTGACGAGAGGCTGGAAGTCAGCGAGATGGTACACAAGGTATTCATCGAAGTTACGAAGGAAGGCACCGAGGCCACCGGGGCAGGGGCCGTGGTCTTCAGACGCACGACCAGCGCGGTGCGGCCGACGCCGCGTATTGTCCGTTTCACCTTGGATCGACCGTTCTTTGCAGTATGGCACAAGCACAAGATCAACCTATTTTCGGCGTACGTTGCCTCGCTGTAGGCTGTCACATGCACGAGGAACGTGATTCCTCCACAGTCGTTGTCAGCATGGCTGATCGAACCGTCCGGCCAATCACGGGGGCGAAAAACGCTGACGTCACTGATGTTTTTTCATTTTTCCAACCAAGCATTTACTGGTGCTACACCGCATTGCCACATTTGTCAGGAGTGATCAACTTCCTTTTGTCATTGGATTCTTGTTCCTGGCATCTTTTGTTGCGGCGTCCCCTGACCCAGCCCGGATAAGCTTTGAGGCACCGCCAACATCGTGGGGAAGAGCACTGAAGGCATGAGCCCTCTTATCTTATCAAACTGCTAAAATCACATCGTCTGTGTGAGAGATACTAGATCACCGCTTCGTTGTATAACTTAAGGCTTTTAAGTTGCCCTAGTAGCCAAGCGACTGGACGCACTTGCTGAGGAGGTATTTACATTGGTAGCTGGGAGATAGTTTTGTATGAGCTAAACTCATGTGTGCCATTACAAAGACATGAAATAAAGGCTAACAAAATACAACAGAAACTTCCACGTCAACAATCAGAATAAATTCGGCGAACACATACATCAAGGTCATCATAACGGTTCAAGCAATGCATCCCTAACAAATGTTGCGTTTAAAATGCTGTGTTGTTATTGTGCGGGGTGTGCGCCCGCGCCCTCGCTGTCTTCCAAGCTCTGTATCTGACTGGGTGCCGGGGGGCGTCACGTGACTGCGGGTCTCCCGATTCGCCGGGGGTTAAGGGTCGGTCGCTAAGGCGGCGGCAGGGACCCGACGCTCGCAGATGCCAGTCGGTTTTTGGACGAGTCCAGGCCTTGAACCTCGGTGCCTCGAACCTTTGGGTGTCTCAGCCCGAAAGGCAATACCGGGGAGAAGCACGGCCGCGGAGCGACGCGGGAGTTGTGGTTTCATCACGAGCCACTCGTGATGATCCAAAGAGCACGAAACCATAACTACTACGCCTCATCATGTACTCTATTTTGCTGGGGTGACAAAAAGCGGTTTGTTGACCTGAGGTGGCGCAGGGAGTGTCACACTGCACTGTCAATAGGCTTTGTGTTCTGCCACAAATTCTCTTAGTTCCAAATGCTGCGGGGGTCAAATTGGCCGCGTGTATTTTTCCAAATCACTTGCTATACCCAAATACGAGCAACCGAGGGTCAGCAAAGGCAATATAAAAATGGTAAAACAAAAACATTGCACATACCAGGGTTATCTCGATGGCGAGCGCAGTGAGGCTCTTTTTCACCACAATCACTTAGTAAGGTTGTTTTACACGTCATTATTTTTGTATGAAAATGATCGGCATAATGAACACTTTAATGCCGATGGCAAGGACTCATGTAGCCGCTTAATGACCACAACACTTCCTAACACTCTTAGGCTTATAAACCTGGCTTTTGCCATAAAAATGATTAAAAGACCTTAGCTACATTTGCAACTGTCTATTCATTCATCCAGGCGTATAAACATTGTCCGCCATCCCCTTCAGTCAGACTCGTGCATTTCCTGAACTAGGTACATCACGCTAAATACCGCTGCCTCAACGATCGCCTTCGTGCTAGAAAAGGAAATAGCCCCGTACACGGAGCTAGTTTTGTAAGATATCATTGGCCCGGTCAGCTAGTGACACCTGCTCCCTCACCCCCCCCCCCCCCCTCCTGTGCACTCCGTTTTGACGCTGCTCTTTGGAGTTGGCTCTGACAGTTCTCTGACCCTGACTCTGACAGTTCTCGCTAGCACCGACATGCAAGCTGTGCGCTGCTGAACATTATCTCTGGTTCTGGGTTCGTGGCTGATTGTTATCAGCGTCAAATCTTGAAAGCATTGTACAGAATGTCTTACCAATTAGTCGTTAAAATTCTTGCATTTGCGCGGAAAAACGTGCACAAAGATAAGAGAGTAGCAATAGTTTTTTTCCTAGTATAAAAAACAGGAGAATGGAGATAAAGATGCGTTCATATTTCAGCAACATGCATTCGTCGGAACTAAATAAAAGTATATCCAGAACTGCCTGCGGCTGTCGCCATTCGATTTTCAGGTTTCCTTTGAAACAGCGGCCCACACATTTTACAGTTTACCAGCATTCAGGGAATAAAACAAGGAGCAATGCTAGTCATGTCTACGATACAGTGCGTATCTACACAAGAATTATAACACGTAAAAATACGCGTCCAAATGAAAGTAAATAGAGATCACGCATCACGCTTCATTCAAACATGCAAGCGAGTTCAATTAAACAAGCATCACACATCGTGGGTCAGTTAAGCATGCACACAATTTTGATCAAACAGGCACCGCGCATTACGCGCCATCCATCACTTGCACATGTCAACAGTGCTAAGCTAGCATGCATCACACAGCACGGTACATATCACGCTCGCCTAATCGGCCATGACGAGTCCTGTAAGTTAAGATTTGGTCGCCGACTTTTATAAAAATAAATTTACGTATTTTCCTATCTGGATGGGCAAGTGCTGTATAGATAAATTTCAGCTCTAAAAGGGCCATAGGGTCCCTACCTCCCTGGATTTCAACTTCAGCGTGTTTTGCCAAAAAGAAAGGTCACCGAGAGGTGCATCCTGTGGTTTGTTTTTAGCGTCTCGCGGATGTTTGTCATATCTCAAACGAATGGGACGCGTAGACTGCCGACATAGACTTTGTGTTTAACGTTTTTCACACAGATTTTACTTAAACTGCAAAACCATGTTTTTTCCTGCAAATACCCTGAAACCCAGACTTGCGTAAATAGCAGTTAATGCCACCCGAGCACTTAGGCTTCGAGATAGAAGAATTCACCAGATACTTTTTTAGCTTAGTGACGTTTTTCCAAGCTACGCGAACGCGCGGTATTGATTTTCTAACGATATGTTAGATTTTCCAAAGCAAGTGCTCCTCTATGCAAGTCGGCATTAAGAATCCGACGCCCGACAGGACGTGTTCTCTTTCTCTCGTCTCTCTCGTGGCGGACGTGTCTCAGGACGTGTCCCGCTTTCTACCACCCATCCCCCAACGCGGTCTAGATTTTTGAACATCTTCCGGTAAAGAACTTTGCTTTGATAAGGCATGTTGCCGAAATATCAACTAATCGTTATATCCATTTTCCTGATTTTTCTTCGAGGAATAAGGCTCTTACTACTGTTTTTTCCTGGATGGAGGCATGTTTTTATATAGCAGGTCTAATACCATTGTTCGTTTGGTAGAGCTAGAAGAACTGAACTTGACAAACCTCTTGAAAAATCGCTATACGTGGTTTATATGGGTGGCTTTCGGTTCAAAGCACATGCTTGCATGCTATTACGCTTGCTACTGCTGCTGCTGCTGCTGCTGCTGCTGTTGCACCTGCTTGTGCCCTGCACCCACCACCCAAGTTTTTTTCCGCCCAGTTCAACGAAAAGTTTTACCTCCGCCCTTTCGCCAGACAGGACCGCGGGGTTTTACGTGCCGCACAATGTTGCCACACAGTGCCGCGCCACGGCCGCCCCGGACCTGGCTCGATCCTCGCTGGCCCGTTGCCAGCTAACCTTCCCATTTCAGTTGGCCCAAATAATGCAACTACTCTGGGCGCTCCACTCCACTACTCACACCAACTGCCTCTGTATTACGAGTATAGCATCATTCATCTGGACCACAAAGCCAAATGTTGCCTTTGCCTACTGACTTGGCGCAACGCTTCGCGATAAGACTCATACATCGACTTACCCAGACACGCTTGCAGAGAGGTGTCTGTTATTTTGTCTACATAAGACCGAGAATTAAATATTGGTTGACCACCCGAATAAGTCCCAGGAATTATTGCAGCCATCAACGCTGTCATGACAGAGCTGCAATAAACCACCTTCATTTGTTTGATTTAGACCAGCGACGTGGCGCATTATATACATGATCACCACGTATGATAATCCACGTCAGTCTTTGATCAGACACGCGTCCCCTTTGTCTAGGAGATTCGATACAGGGTCGCAGGGAAATGCCGATGTTCTTTTGAGATAATGTGTGGAATGTTTCACGTCTCATGCAGTCTTAAGTTTTCTTTTTGGTATTCTCACATCTTGGTGATGAACTGAGATTAGCACGCTTCTAGTGGGAGATAACAAGAACACACACACACACACACACACACACACACACACACACACACACACACACACACACACACACACACACACACACACACACACACACACACACACACACACACACACACACACACACACACACACACACACACACACACACACACACACACACACACACACACATACACACACACACACACACACACACCGGTGGCTTTCTTGGAAGAGCTTTCAGAAAATGCTTCGCATTCATGTCGTCGACACATCTGAATTCGGGTCAGTAAATGCCAGTGGTGTGGTTTGGTTTGTGTTGGGGGTTCTAGTCACTACACTGGGTTTCAGCAGGCTGAAGCAGCGGCAAGCGGT